TGTTGTATACTCTTCATGTAATTACAAACAGTAGGGATTATCAATGTATAATTCCGTATGCAAATACTAATAAAATCTCGTCAGCAATGTAAGCCACCTTAAACAATAAAAAAAATAAAATAAAATCTTCATAAAATTATTTATTCTTATAATACTCTTGTTTGGAAGTAGAAATAGAGAATTTCTTTGAGATCATAAATACTCGTAATCTTAGCATAGCTTTTCTCCTAGTTGGAATTAAACTAGTGTCCTTGCAAATACAATCTAGGAGTGCTAACCACTGCACTAACAACCCACAGGTCTCTAATAGATCTTCTGTTAGCTTCAATAGATTTTGTATTTTAGTTGTTACTATATATCTATATCTTATCTTATACTTTTAAAAAAAGTATTTTGTTGAACTTTCTCCCTTTTTAATTTAATGAGTTTTAGATTTCATTTGCTATTTTTTAGCTAAGGCTATATTCTCTTTCTGTAGTTGTTCTGTTAGTTAGTTAATTTCAATTTCTAGATCTATATATATAGAATTTTTAGCTAATTTAACTTGTAGATTAGTTAACTTCTTATTTAATTTTAAGATCTTGCTTTCAGAAGCTAATAGTAGTTTATATACTTTTATAATTAATTATATAACAACTTTTTGAAAGTTCTAGTTCCTACTATTAGTAGTGTTTTCTGTAAGTTTTTCTATTACTTCATTTCTGATTTTGTTATTTTTAAAACAATTTTTATTGAACCTCCAATAAGCAAAATATGTTCCTTTGTAACATATGAAGTTAAATATGGTTTCTACTAATAAATAATCAGAATTGCCATATCATGTTATAATTTGCTGATAAAATTGGTTATTTTAATCATCTACAAAGAAATAATCTAATTTAGTGGCCATCATACAGTTCCTTTAAACTTTTTGGAAGTAGGTTACAAATGGTTTTTTTCTTATTAGATCTACAACATCTGTGAATCTATTAATATTTTCTTTCAGGAGCTCTCTAGTAGGGTTGTTATATGCCTTCAATTATATTGATAGTGTTTTCATTTATATTAGAGTTCTATTCATTAAAGAAGGTGCACCTGCTTTCAATATTTGGAGATGCGTACACATTCATGATTGTTAAAATATATTGCTTGAAGTTGACTGTAGCTTCTAAAACTCTTCCTTCTAAAGATTCTTGTACATTTCTTATCAGGACTTCATTATTTCCCACAAGAATAGCTATTTTTGTTGTCCATACTGAATCAAATAGCCATTGTCTTTTTATGAAATTTCTAGTCTCTTCATTTAATAGGTTAGTCTCCTGTAACATAATGATATCAAGCTTATATGATTTAAGTAACGTGAGTGTGTTTGATCTTTTTTGTTCGTTGTTTAACCCTTTGACGTTTAGGGTAGCTATTTTGATTTGTGTGTTGATCATGAGATCATTGAGAAGAGGTGTTTTTAGGTTGCTTAGCCCGTTTGTAAGGATTTACCCTAACATTATCAGTATACGCTGTCTTGTTACCTTCCCCTTTCTTTTTTTTCTTTTGATTGTTATTTTTTTAAAAAAAACAAATATTTATTTTTTTTCCGAATTAAATTAAGGTCTGTCATTACATGAATGCACCACAACTTATCGCTTATAAAGTTGAATCTACGTGTACAATAATGAATGATATCAACTTCAGAGCGAATCGACCCTTAGATCTAACTCATCAAGGATCTGCCGAGATAATGGCTTATGCTGAAATTGGTGGAATAATATTGAGAATATTTATTCTGTGCAACAAACATCACGTAAATTAATTAACATTGCTGACATTCCTGGTCCGAATGTTTTTTTCGACATTATTGCTGAGGTAAGAATTTATATCAACAAAATAATTTAATAATGAATTCATGCAATAATATTCCTTTTATAAAT